ATAGGAGAAACTGGAGACCCCATAGCACACCCATGTTTCTGCCTATAATATTGCTCCCCATATGTGAAGTAGGTTGACTGCAGGCACAGTTTCAAGAGTTGACACAGTTGTTCTGTGGAAAGCGTGGTCCTGCTGCTCAGAGTGGTGTCTGATTTTAATTTTAAACTGACCACCTCTACTGCATCATCAACAGGAATGCACGTAAAGAGTGATGTGACATCAAAAGAGACCATTGTTTCATCAGTCTCCATGATGACATCCCTCACCTTATCCACAAAGTCCATGGTGTTCTGTATGTGGTGTTCTGAGCTGCCAACTAAAGGGATGAGTACAGACGCCAGATATTTGGAAACATTGTAAGTGACAGAGTTAATCATGCTAACAATTGGTCTTAAAGGTACACCTTGTTTGTGGATTTTAGGTAAACCATACAGACTAGGTGTGGCCTCCCCTGGGTACAGTCTGTGGTACAGAAAACGGTCAATAGCCTTGTCCTGCTCCAAAATTTTCAGGCAATCTATCAATTTCTTCTTGTAACCACTTCCTGGATCTCTTTTTAGAGGTTCACAAGGGGTTAAGTCACTAAGGAGTGTCATAACTTTCTCATGATAGTCTTTCTGGTTCAAAATCACTGTGCACCTTCCTTTGTCTGCTGGGAGAATGATGATGTTTTTGTCCTTGCTAAGAGTGGTGAGTGCATCCCTCTCCTCTCTACTGATGTTGGAAGGTGGTGGTTTGGCATTGCTGAGGCAGGATGAAACTTTGATTCTGAGCTGTTCTGCTTCAGCCTCTTTCATTTTGTTGTTGCAGATGGCTGACTCAGTAGCTGTGATCATCTCCACCAGAGGAATTCTACTTGGTGCAACCGCAAAGTTCAGTCCCCTGGCAAGAATCTCTGTCTCCGGCTGGGTGAGCTGTCTGTCAGATAAATTCTTCACCCACTTTTCTGTCTCCCTGACATGTAATTGACTACTGGAGTGCTGTCCTACACTGAATGTGTTGTTATTGGAATAGTGATGTTGTTGAGGAGTTATTAGTAAGTTAAACTTGTTTTGTTGTCGAGTCTTGGACTTGACATGCTGTGCTAATCGTGCCTGACCTGTACAGTCCAACACTTGCTGAAGTGTGGTCTGATCTAGACACATAGTTAGTTTCTGTTTAATGTGCTCTTCTTTGGCCTTCAAGGCCTCAATAGTAAAATTGGTCTGTCTCACCCGTTCATTCAGCAGCTGTGTCTGTGCCTTCTGAAGGATCTTGCTTGCCCGGTGCCCGCTGACCGAAGATTTTAGTTCCAGGCTCTTGGGAATGATGCCACTTTGTCGACATCTGAGATCCAGTCCCCCGGCACAAACAGAGTAATGTTGTGTATGCTGTTCAGTGTCAGGAGGGCTGTGATCAGTCTTACATCGGGGAAACAAAACAGCCACTGGCCAAAAGGATGGCCCAGCACAGAAGATCAACATCATCAGGCCAGGACTCTGCGGTCTACACTCATCTCCAGGCCAGCGGTCACTCTTTCAGGGATGAAGATGTGCACATCCTGGATAGAGAGGAACGATGGTTTGATTGCTAGTATCACTCAGCCCTCTGTGAACAGTAAACAGCCATCAGTGTGCTCCATTGTTATGCTGATGGTCCTTCTTGAGCATGTGATCAGCTGGTTTTGGTTGTCAGCAGCAAAACTGGTTGATCCACCCTGAGACGGTGCTATTTAAGAGACTGAGCTGAATACAGCTCCTCAGACTGAGGAAGTCTCTCGGATGAGGCTGCTCTTGGCAGGGAACAGTTCATACAATGATTAGATCATTACAAAATATACAAAAATAACTTCTTAGGGTTTTATATTTAAAACAAAAGCCAGTAGTAAGTCTGAAGCGTTTAAAGGATCATTTAAGATAATCACATTGACATTTGAAGAGTGGAATAAATCAGAAGCCTACAAAACGACATTGCACTTGTATATTGTAGATATCGGTTTAACAACAGTATTTTTTTTCTTTCTTTGTTGTGATGTGTACAGATTCCAGAAAAGGGGAACGCCCCTATCCTGAAGTGGTTTTGAGCAAAGGTTAAGGGGAAATGGGGTGGTTCGATAATATTAAACACAACTGACTTGACTGGACTGGACTGGACTTATAGTTTAATTGGGCTAATAAAAGGTTTCATGAACAAAGTATTTTAACCACATTTTTCTCGTTCTCTCTCTCTTTTATTTTTCCTCTTTCTCTCTTTTCCTTCCTTGCTCTTTCTTCCCTTCTCTAGCACAGACAGGTACCTGGATGGAAGATTAAATTCTTTTTTTCTCTCAGTGTTGTAGGTCAGTTGTTTTAAAACTTGTAAGGTTATATTGTACTTTGATGTTGTGCGCAAGCGATTTAATGAAGTTACTTCCACAGGGAGGCTGGCGTGGGGAGTGCTTATTGCAGGGTGGTGTTGTGTATGTTTTAACTTTACTAATTGTAGGTAGACCTGTGGACTGCAAAGGCTTTGAAGGATGGAAGAAGAGACGAGAGAACACAGGTATCCCTGGAGAAGTCCAGTAGGTTCCTCATTTCAGTTTCAAGTGTATAGACGAATGTAAGAATAGCATTTTATTTCAGTTTTACAAGTTCTGTTTTATTATAACATTACAGTGTAAGAGTTCACACTAGCAGTAGCAATAATAACCATCAGGGTGTCCCATAATTAAGAAACAGGTTTTACTCACTAGGAAGTAACCACAGTCATTTTTCCAGGCCCACAAAGGGGTCATGGATCCCACAGTTAAATAATCAAAAGGCCATGCAGGGTGTTTAACAATTCGTAAGCTTTGGTGTCCAGCTTTTCTCATCAGGAGGGAGAATCTCTGACCGAGGAGATTGACTACGAACCATCACACCGGACTGGGTCCTGCTGAAAAGAGGGACAGGACCCCACTAGGTGGTGGAGAGAACATCACACGCCATCAGTCTCCAGAATGAGAGTGACACCTGTTACGACCACAACCAGTGCGCCCCTGGAGAGGAGCGGAATCGATCGCTGGACCTGGGGCTGATCTGCTGGAACATCACCTCCCCACTACACCTGGAGGAGGTGACAGGACCTTCGTGGGAGCTCATTCTTTGCCCCTTTGTTCTGGTTGGAAAAAGGCAGTAGCAAACGTTGGAGAAGGAGTCTCCGCTCTGCCTAAAGTCAGTCAGTCAGGTGGATCGGGTAAGGACGAAGATTACCAGCCCTGACCGTGAAGAACAGAAGACGCGTCAAACTGATTTTAGTTTTGTCCCAATACACACACGCCATTTAGAATGTTTAATCAGACTGATAAGGTTCTGAGGACTTTACATGAAGATATCTCCGCGGGCCGAATCCTGCCGAGCACCAAAGGACCCTTGTGGACGAACAAGGCCTCCCACCGCAAGCTCAAGAACTGAAGACCTGCTAGATAGTCCTGTTTAAATTGAGGGTGTTGGCTTTTCCTGTTTAATAGGAGTGTCTAGTCTTTCCTTTCAGTCATTCTGCAAAAAAAACAGAGAAGGGTCGTGGATTCAATTGGAAACTCTTAACTATTCAAAATTTTACTCCATTCAATTGGGCATGTCATCATTCTAAAATCCCACGAGGTATTTTAAAGGTGGTTTAAAAAGAGGTCAATTTTGGTATTAGGGTGGAGTTTTACTTATTTTAGTGTGGGACACTTATCTCTTACTAGGAGTGTTGTAGTTTTTTCATATTTTTATAAAGGTTTATGCACTTGGTATTTTTTTACAGGTTTTGAAGGGTTTGAACCAGGGGTCTGGTCCAGGACCCCTGGAGGGTTGCAGTAAGTTTGGTCATTTCCATATGGACAAATCCAAAAAGGGGTGATCTCCCATGAAATGGGGAGATCAAAAGAGGGAATGTTGAATTTCATATTTTTATACCTTTTTATATTTCCTATCAAGCATTCAAATGTCATGTTATACAAAGTGTGTGTGTGTCTTTCTTCCAGGGTTGCACTATATTTATAGAAAATGTTTGCTAATTCTAACTAGTTGACCTTTAAATAAAATCTCATATTAGCTAAGGATAATTTTACAAGTTCACATTTGATATATTACAAGCAATCAAATCATGCCAGATAGCAGACTGATTAGCATAAATAAAGCTAGAACATATTTCTTTAATTTACTTAATATAGTTTGATTAAATAAGATCCTTCAGGATCTCTCTTAATAATAACCATTAACATTTAATCATTGTTGAATACCGGGTCGGTTTAGCTGAGAGGACACAGGGTTAATTGTCACAGTAAGCTACAACAGCAAAAGTATAAAAAGGATCAAGTAAGAACACACAAACATGAGTTAGATAACAATTAATAGTTATTAATTATTCCTAGAATATTCCTAGAAATAAACAACTTTAACTCAAATCATTTAGTGTCACTAAGGTATAATCACGTTAAACAGCTAA